TGGTGTCCAGTGGTTTCCCTTTGTCGGGGGCCACAAGGCCGATCCTTTGGTCTTCGGAGCCCTGTTCCCGTGTTGTCAGGTGCCACCAAGCCAGCGCCTCGGGGGATTGCTGTATGGACGGGCGACATGGCATGAACCGAGCAACCGGATATATGAATGAGTGAGCGAGAATGTAGGACACGTGCAAGCACGCATGGCTCTATACACACATTTGCATTGATTTTCTACGCATGCACATTTAGAAATGTGTTGTACCCGGGGGCGCCTGTTGCTGGCCATGTTAGAAGAAAACCACATGATGAGCGCACATGTTGAGGACTTCCTTGGTTTGGCACATTGCAAGCAAGGTCTCCTTGGAAGCGAAAGGGGGCCAATGGAAAATGTTAGGCAACCGTGGTTCTAGACAGCTGTTGCTGAAGACAACTAGGCCGAACGTCACTTCGTGGTGAAGTTCAAGACCCGAACATGAAACGCACTACTTGGAGCGATCCCTAGTTTAGACAACGATTTGAGCAAAAGCAAAGGTGAAGGAGCAGGGCGCGAAAGGTCAGTGGACATTCTCGAGGCTGAGCGCCTGGCGTCCTGAAGTTTGAGTCCATTCCCTCTTCGAGCGAGGCTGTCCTCGTCATTTGTGGGGAACGCTCACAATTGGTATGAGCCAAAAACCACCAGAGGACGCAGGTTTTAGTCCATGCTTCCACTTAGCAGGGTTCCATTTTGGGTACCCATTTTTGACCCACAGCCAGTTAAGCGTCAAGCTTGCCATCCGTTTGCCTTGCTTCAGCATGCTTACACGGATTCGCTTGAGGTCCAGCCGCACCTTGAGCCGAGATGCCGTGAAGGCGCTGGGGCCGCCAGACAGCTCGGTAGCCCAGAGCGAGACTTCCGGGTGGGTTTTTAGAAAACCGAAAAAGAAAGCCGGCCATCAAATGAGTTGGAAATGAGGGTTGGTATGGGAAAACTCGGGTTTGCGGGTACCTTGAAGTTGGGTGAAACTAGGTAGCACAGATCCTAATCCTGTTGGTTTAGTCACACACCTACGTGCAGCGGATTGTGGCATTTAGCCCTGTTGCAACAGGAAACCAATCAGAAAACACACCATAGAACAGGCCTCCCGTCAGAAAGCAGGCAGACCCGCCACATTTGGGCTTAAACCAGGGGAAGGGTGGACCAATGAGAAGCCCAGATAGACGTTTGGTAGAGTTTCCAGGCGTCAAACAAGCAACAAAGAGCACCAAGGTCCCCTGTTCCTTTTTTGGGGGAGATCAAACCTGCCAAGGTAAACCAATCGCTTGTGGGGCCGTTTCTTCCCCTAGGATGGAAATGGTAAAAGGCACAGTTCCGGGCTCATGGGGGTTGAGGGAAACCAAGAAAGCCACCTACACAGAGACAAACCCATACCGACCATATGACATGGAAAGCAGGTCATCCACCAGGTGGATCCATCCGGGGTTGACAGTGTAGGAATGATGCCAGAGGGGTGGCTCAAAGGAGCCCCCGCTGGTGCAAATGCGCACACATTCGTAGAGCCATGGGCAGGATCCCTCGCAGCAAAAAGAGAGGTTGTAAGGTTCACGAAGTATGGACACATCATCTTTTTGTTTGGGGGCAAAACGATGAGTTAGGGCGAATCGCTATTTCCGTGAACTTCTTCCACGGGCGAGAGTCTAGGGTCCATGGCTCCCCTCTCATAGACTTGGCGCAGAGAGTGTGCCTCCACTATTCAGTGGTTCTGCGCAAACTCACGTCTCAAGCCTGCAAGAGCGTCTGCAATGTTGTCCTTTGCCTTTGCGCGGCTTCCACCCCCGAAGGGCTGTGGTCTTCTGCGCCGGAACCACGACCCCCCAAGGTTGAATGGACCAGTATACAGCCACTGCATGGGGATAAATCCGCTTTTCTTCTTGGGGTAGTGGCTTGGGATACGAACCGTTGAGGTCCTCCCCGCAAAACAGGCACCCCCGTTGGTTGGCCAAACTCGCCAGACTGACACCTCTGGCAGCAGCCCCTTGTCCGTATGGGTGGAGTTCCTGTTCTCCCAGGGCTTTTTTCTCGTGCCCCTGGAGCAGCTATCTCGATCCCTTTGCCTCCCTACAATCAAACTTGCACCCCCAAAAACAAAAAGGACATTCCTGTAAAAAATACTGGATTTGCGGGTTCCAGATCATTCAGGGAAGTACCCATTGCCACCTCCAAATTTCAAAACCTTTCAGCAACAGCTTCACGGAGCCAGGCGTCAAGTTCGTGGAGAAGGTTCTGCCCATCCTCAAGGACCAGGCCACATGTCTCGCGACGCGCCAGTCGGTCGCTGGCTTATTTCGGGCTTCATCAGGGCACTGCCGCCTCGATTGGCCAACTCCACTGCACATTCTGATTGGCGCGCTTCAACAAACGTATGTGTTCCTGTCGTTCCCAGGGTGTCAGAGGGGGAAACTGTATTCGTGGTTGGCTGGTCAAAACAAGGACTTGTTGATGTTCACAAAAACGCGTATGTCACTACCCTATGCCTTGATTCCCTCAACAGGCCCAGACAAATCCAGAACAACAAAAGACACCGACTTGGCCATTTTTGCGGCGGGTAGGGCCCTCCACTTCGCACCACCTAGTAAGTGGTTTACCCCAGTATTTATAGAGCGTCATTGCACGTCTCTTCTCAAGGGGAGGCAGTGGGGTTGGTAGGCGTGGTATTCCAAGCCTTGCTAGGCACTGACGACCTACCAACGCCTGGAGATGCTGCCGAGGTCCCAGATGTCCCAGTTTTGTCCGCCTGGTGCCAATGGTGGGAAACCTAGGCAAGCCACCTATGCAATGAAAACAGGGCAAAGCAAGGACCGGACTGGGCGAAGAAAGGGTTCTGGAGGATGCCAAGCATCTCCGCTGTCTGGAATACAACCTAGGCTTGTTTCAGCCAAAGAAAAAACCAGAAAGGTTCAGTTTTCGCATGTCTTCTTCGCCGCCCTGGCCTTGTTGAATTTGATTTGGCGACAGCCTCAAAGTATCTCGAAGTCGCTGAGGCTGGAGCTGCCTGGGGTGCATCGGGTGCCGGCCAACTTGAGGTGCGGGTCCCGCGGTGGCAAAATCCACTGGCACCAGCTATGAAATCCTAAGGTGCGCTGGGGAAAACCACCAAGTGGTGCAAAGTGAAGTTAGTCTATCCATAGTATTGCCATCTAGTTGGGAATATGTGCTATTGTATTTCTTGCGAAGATGCCCTATCAGGAGCCCCTATGCGTGGTGGCGTTTTGCCGCGCAAACGTTTGTGTTGGGGATTTGAGCATGTCCCACGCCCATAAAGCTCGTATATCTTGTGTTTTATGTTTGCTTTTGGCTCTGGTGCAATTCTAGCTAGGCGGCTACAGGCAGCAGTGGTGTTTGCTAGCATTCGGCGGGGTAGGAGAGCCAGCAGGCCTTCCCGATTGCAAGCTTGTAAATCGATAAGGATCCTACTAGTTCAACCATCATGTGTGGTAGCCATTCCACGCAATATCTTGCGTGTGTTTGTTTTCTCAGTAAGGGACGCGCTGTGTTTGTAGGTTGTTCATTCTTGTTTCCAAACCATCCAAGATGGGCGACCCTTCAAGGAAACACCCAAGTAGCTCCATGTTTTTAGGTCAATCTCCCCAGAGCCGCGCTTTCGTGCAGAGAGCCGAGGGAGCAAACGCAACGCAACATGTTCCCAATATGCTGTCTGATAGATCTCTTTTGAACCGATTTTGCATTTCGTGGCTCAAAGCAAATCAACGGAAGGAACCCAAAAGGGCCCCCCTAAAAGGAGATTTCTCGAATCATGTTTTTCTGGGGGGGTTCCATGTTAACGCATGTTAATCTGTGGAAGTGTAGGTTCGCTGAATATGGAGCAACTGGGGTAACAGCTGAGGTGACAGTGATGCACTGTTTAGCTTGGTTGATTCACCTACAAGTAGGTGCTACATGTCACTGGGGGTGCCAAAAGGCACTGCTTTGGCTTTCAGCTGGGTGGTGGGACCTGGCAGCAATAAGCTGAGTTTGCTTTGTTTGCTTTGGCTGATTTTGAGAAGGGAATGTGCGTGCCTTGTGTATATATATATATACACACGTTTATGTGCATGGTGCAGGTTTATGCGTTTTTCCCCAAGAAACATCGTTGTGAACATGCAGGTTATCGGGCGCAACTTTGTGTGATATGAAGGGGAGCCCCTTTACATGACACAGTATCCTTGGGGATGAGCGGCAGCAATTAAGCCATGTGGCAGTTGCCCACTCAAAGCGCCGTGTGGTTCGGGGGGGGGGGGGGGGGCTACTCGTTTGCCCAATTTGTGGCGAGCTCACGTGGGGGCGAAACGAGATTTGATCTTTCACCAGGGGATGCCACGTTTGTATTGCCTCCTTTGGAACTGGCAATAAGGGTGTGTCTTTCTTTTGGCTTTAAAGCGATTCCCAAGGGAACCCGCAATTTTCCTCCCCCTCCCCCCCGAGATCCCCCGAGATCTGACCAAACAAGTGCTTCTGCTTGGCCGCCGGGTATCGTTTTTATCGTTTTTGCGGCTCAAGCAGGCGCCAGGGATCGCCTTGGGCTCAGCGATGCCCGAAATGACATTTGAGGGACATGTTCGGAAGATGGAGTTTCTTCTTAGACCGCGCAGCGATCTTAGTTCACGGTTCTGTTTTCTCACTTGCCCACAGCTGACCTTTTGACCTTCCCCCCTTTTTGGTTCATTTTTAGTGGTACCGAAAGGGGATCACCTTTTGTTTCTAGGTCTGAGCTGGGCAAGTGAGTCAAAGCTTGGAGGTGTGTGGAAGTTTCTGAAGTCTCTTTTGGTCTCTTTTGCCAACATTGAGCCGGCCATGCTTGTAACCACCCTTGGTGAATGAGAGCACAACCAGCCATGCCCAACGAACAGCAGGTTCAAAGACAGGCTGTGGGTGCTAAGCCCATATGTTTTAGCTTCCCAACAGGAAGCCCAAAGGGGGTTGTTCAAAAAAACTGCCGCATATTTTGACACCCAGGGCAAAGGCCTTACCAACTTGACATCGGCTGCGTAGCAATCCGGTTGCCATATCGGCCGCCATCCGGGTCTACCGCCATGAGCCTTGGCTGCAAAGATGTGTAACCCATTTGTGCGTTTGGGATCCCTCAACGTTTGGGGGAACTCCCCCTTGCAAACTTGGGACCGTTAAATTTGCTTGGTTAACAGTTAACAGCAGGTCAGAGTGCGGTATGAACAACCCTGAAGCGATAGGAGTGCGTCCGCCAACAGCAGCCGCATGGCCTTTGACTACAGCTCTCGGAATTCAGAGGCCGCTACGTGAAGTCATTTTAGGGCTCGCTCTGGACACCTGACCCAGGGTCGACTCTATGCTCAGGCGTTTTCCTCACACCGCCCCGTTCAAAAGGCCTGCGCATCCGCTTGTGAACTTGTCCAACCTCGTCCAAATGTCTCTCTTGCTTGTTCTTTTCGCATTTATCCTTTTCTTTCTCTCTCGCACTCTCGTTCTCCCTCTCTCTCACGCCCCCTCTCTTTCTCTCTCTCCTTCTTTCTCTCTCCCACTCCTTTTCCCTCTCTCTCTCCCTCTCCAGCTCCCTCTCCCTCTCCTTTTCCCTCTCCCTCTCCCTCTCCCTCTCCCTCTCCCTCTCCCTCTCCCTCTCCTTCTCTCTGTCTCTCTCGCTCTCTCTCTCACTCTCTCGCTCTCTCTCTCTCTCTCTCTTTCTCTCTTTCTCTCTTTCTCTTCCAGTCTCTCACCTTCTATAGTTTTCTCTCTTTATGTCACTCACTCACTCACTCACTCACTCACTCACTCACTCACTCACTCACTCACTCACTCACTCACTCACTCACTCACTCACTCACTCACTCACTCACTCACTCACTCACTCACTCACTCTCTCTCTCTCTCTCTCTCTCCTTCTTGTGTTATTGTCTCTCTTTGTTGCGGTTTGTTTGTGCAGTTCTGTCTTTCTGTCCGTCTTTTTTTCGTTTTCTCTCCCGCTCTCTCGCTCTCTCTCCATGTGTCTCTTTAGCTACCTCTGTCTTAATGTTCATGTCTTCTTTGTTTGTGTTTTGTTTGTGTTCATTATTGGTTTTATGTGTTTACCAGTTTATGTTGTTTGCTTGTTGGCTTATTGGATTAGCTACTGTTTAATTATGTCTTCAGATGTTCATGTATGTGATTATGTATTGCGATATTTGTTTGGTTAATTCTTCATTATGTGTTAATTGTTGTGTGTATGCCGGCCTTTCCGTGTGTATTTTGAATGTGTTCTCTTATTTATTCATTTATTCATAAATTTATGTTTCCTTTGTTAATTGATTGTGTTCTGTTTGTTTTTCTTTTTTGGTTTCTTTCTTTCAGTCTTTCTTGTATTCTTTATTTCTTTATTTAGGTTTTCCTTCTTGCTGTTTTGTCTTGTTTTCTTTCTTTCCTTCTTTCTGTATTTCTTGCGTTTATTATTGTTATTTGTTTTTCGTTCTTGCTTTCTGTCTGTCTTTCTTTCTTTTGTTCTTTTTTTTGTTCTTTCTTTCCCCCATTTTTGTCTATCTCGAATTTCCCTTTTCTATTGTTGTGCTCTTTCTCTCTTTCGCTCTCCTTTGACCTACCTCCCTCCCTCCCTCCCCTCCCCTCCCCTCCCCTCCCCTCCCCTCCCTCCCTCCCCTCCCCTCCCCTCCCTCCCTCCCTCCCTCCCTCCCTCCTTAAGGATTGCCAAACTTTCCGTCGGCAGGGGGCCAAGGTCTGAGCAAGCAAAAGGCTCCCTATTAGTTTCAGGGTCACTGGGCTTGTTCTGACTGGACCCGCTGGGCTGGTTTTGACTGGACCCGCGAAGCCTTGTCTGAGGAAGCTGGCGTCGGCCAACCTTTGCATGTTCTCGCGAGGTGCGTCGACCGGTCGGCATCGAGTTCGCACTAGCCCCGGCTTTCAGCTGCCCTTTTCCATTTGTGGCTTTGCCGAGGGGCGTCCGTTGAACGTCAACTACCAACTTTCTTCCCATGGAAACTCGCTGGAGGTTTGGGCGAATTCTCGTGAGCTCACCGATGGGGAAACCAACGATCCCAGGCCCACGATGAAGGTCCACTTTGGGATTCCTGAATTCAGTTTGGCAAAATGCAATAACTAGTGTAGATCCAGTTGCAATTGGCAGTGCTGGCGTGGTAGCGTAGGATTGGCTTCGTTGAGCCTGCCGCGTGTCACAACATGCCCCCCTGTCGCCACCCAGTGTTTTTGGGGAAACATGTCCCCGTAAAATCCCCCAGGGTCTGAACTGTTGTCCCTTTAGTTTTGATGAGAAATATTGGTTCTTTGAAGCAACCAACCACGACAAGTCCTTCCTGTGGTCGCAGCAAACCGGGGTTCGAACCGGCACTATAGGTGTTTTCCGCGTTGGTGTTCCTGTGGCCATCTCAAGGTGCAGATTGCGGCTCGCTTGTAATTTAGAATCTAGACCCGGAAAGGAGACACTTGTTGCCCAACTTGAATCACCATCCAAAAGGGGTCTCGTTGGAGATATTGCGTCACCACTTGGGATCCATGCAGGCCACCCCCCCCCCCCAATAGAATGGGGCTTCGCTTTGTCCGTTTCCAAACGCAGGCGACTTGGATAGAATAATTCTAGTTTTTGTCCACCGAATCACTGGTAGATTTCTCCAAATCCTAAATTCGGTGCACCCAAATTTGTCCACATGCGGGTTGCTTAGTCTTTACATCCACCGGCTGGCTCGAATCATTGGCTTCAGGCTGGCACTGGACAGAATCAGCCCAGGGGATAAGACACTCATCAGATCAGGATGTTGTCCATCAGTATCACTAGTTGTCTGTTGGTTTCTTTAAACAGCATGCTTGCTTTGGTTTCATGTCGGCCCTCCTTAGCACCAAAAAAGGTTCCCCATAGACACCCCAAAAAAGGGTTGCTTTTACTGCACAATGTCCTATTCATAGGAACTTTTTGGTTGAACCCCGAACCTCCCATCCGGGCTCGCCATTGTTCTACAATTCCATACTTCAGGGATGTGTCCCGTCCCACCCTGGGGTAGCTGGTGGGAAATTGAGAGATTGGGGGGGGTGGGCGGGGTTGATCTATTCCTGGCCCCGAGATGACCATGGGTAAGTTTCCCCATTTTGTGGCGAACGTCGTCTTTCTTCCCCGTGTAAAGGACTTTTTGATCAAGCCCCAGATGCAGGAAATCAGGTTTCATTCTGTGATTCTCGAGCGTTTTCACTTCAACACACGAGCGTGTTTTCGGAAAGGCGCCAACATGGGCGCTCGAAGTCCATGGCTCGAGGCGTTTTAGGCCCAGGCCAAACAGACATTAGGGGGGTCTTTTTAAGGGGTGCCGTCTTTTTTTGGCAGGTGTTAAAGGGAAACAACAGGAAAGCCGCCACTTGGGGCTTTGAGACAATCTTATTCGTTCTGAATCACAAGGGACCTTGTGTTCCGAAATGTCAACAGCTCCTGAGCGCTCAGCAATGTGAATAGTAAGTGGATGGCTAGTGGCTTTGGGGCGCTCAAACGCTGGGTGCTCTATATATATACACATACCGTACAGTTTGTCATTTCCCGAGAGGAAGCCCAAGCGGGATGGATCATTCTCAAATGGTTTCCAGGCCCCGTGTTTATTCAGCGCCCAGTATGGCACACACGCACCGCTATATTGTTTATGATTTTTTTCCTCGCTAAACAAGTATAGCAATTGACAAGAAGAACACATTACGCATAATCGGATAAACATGATGATATAAGTACTACTTTACCAAGTGGATCCTTTGGGCTGACTCTGGCGAGCTCACCAGCAAGACAGAAGAACCACCGAGAATCCCTAACGGAGATGGATATGTTTCTGTATCTCCTAGACTTCCTATTTACTATTTAGCACCCAGGTAGAACAATACAGAAGCAGGAAGGGGTCGTGTTTAGCGACAGCAAGTACTAGTTGACGGTTCCCAGCCATTTCCGTAGACTGTAAACATTGGAGGGAAGTCATTTCAGATCTGACTTCAAACAGTTTTAAACGGAGACCAACGAACCACAAAAAAGAAATAGCCCTTGGCAGAGTTGTCCAATCCCCTATTAGTTGGTTGACCACTGTTTGCAGCCCCACGGACATGGAAAAGACTCCCAGGCTCCTGGATGAAAACGGTCTGTCTTTGTGAGGGTACCCCTTTTTTTTGTGGTGTTGCTTTAAGGGAAGCCACCATGAAACCCGTTGCGCCATGGCTTTCATCCTAAAAAAAAAGCCCTTCGCCTTCCGAAGGGCGAGGCTCCGAGGTTTCGGTCAGGTGGCTGCGTGAAGTGCTCCGTGCAGCTGGGCCTCTGCGGCCTGGGCGCGGCGTCTTTGGCGCTGCTCAGCTTCGAACCGCTGCAGGCCGTGCGCCTCGACTCGACGCGGACATCCGTTGGGACCCAGCGGCTTGCGACGTGGTGGGGCCCGTTGGGCGAAGGGCTGACGGCTCGTCAAAATCGGGGAACCCTCCACAAAATGGGCGGATGGCCTGTTGGTGAAGCCTTTTAAGCCCAATCGGCAAAGTACCCGCAAAGTGCGGATTTGGGTTAGGCCATGTTATAGGGCCACGCAAACAGGCAAGCAAGCAAGCAAACAAACAAACAGCAGACAATAGGATGACCCATGCTGCTGCCAGTCGATGGCTGGTGTGGGGGCAGGGCTCCAGAACACTCAGACCACAGATGTTGTTTTCATGTGGTTTCTATTGGTTTCCATTTTGCTGGTGCTGCGCCTGCTTTTTCACCTGTTTTCATGTGCTTTGTTTGTTTGCGTCTTTCATGTGGTCCTTTTCTCCGCATGGCATAAATGTGTTTTTCAGGTGTGTGTGTGTGTGTGTGTAACGTTTTCATGATTCCGCTTGTGACTTATTTGTTGCTTCCCATGTTTCTGTTTTTCGAGGAGGCCCTTAAAATTCAACCATCAATCAAAAGGGTGCCCTTCCTGGTTTTCACTGGCCCCCAAACCACCCCCCACGGGAAGTTATGCCCGACACTAGACGCTGAAAAGGGATTACATTGTTCATTGTCCCCCTGGGGGTTCTTGGAGCTGCTAACCCTTGGCCCCTAGGCCTGCTAGCCCCTGGCATGCTCTCCTGTTATCGCCAGTGCGTCGTGCGTCAGGGTTTACCTTGTGACTCATTGCTTTGGCAAAACAGAGGGCTAGACCCGCGTTTTGCTCTTTCCCTGGCTCACCTTGTTGTTGTGCCTTTGGTGATCCCTCACTTCGTCCTTCAGCAAGCAACAAGTGAACTCTTCGCAGGTCGAAGTCTGGCCCAGTTTTGCACAGCTCACGCCGAGGCTGGACATCCATCATCCGGCCTCCTGGTGTGGGGGGGCTTAGTTCCACGGAGTCCCCGCTGCTCGGCGGGACCCCGGTATGCCTGCTGGTCAATTCCATGTTGCAAGCGTATGTGCTTCTGTGACTGTGAGTCTGGCCCTGGCGCACCGCAAAATGAAGTGAGGACTGAGAATGTCTCAGGAACTGAGATCTTGTTGCATTCCTTGGGGGTAGGCAATGAACAAGGCCGGGCAAGGAGGCGACTAGGGCCACCTCTTCCACCCGAAGCTTGTAGACAGCTCTGGCAGATCCAACAAAGCTGGGAGGAAGAGAGGGTTCTTCGTACATCCATGTTGGCAGTCTCTGGGTTCACTCTTACGGCTGATTTTTATGAGAACCACCTAAATGAGGTTGGCCCGAAGTTTGCGACGGTCCCATGTATGTCCCGTAGGCATTGGCATGCCGGGAATGCCCTCCAAGTAGGATTCCTAAAGACACGGCTACACGGGAGGTACTCGCAGCTCGCGTGCTGCCATGTTGGGCACCACTTGGAGGGCCTCAGATTCTTGAAATCGATGACCCATTTGATTGAGTCCACATTGGCTGGATTTCGGGGACGAGCGAACGAGTAGGGGATGACCATGTACCCACTTGACCAACGAGCAAAATGGAGGTGTCCAATCACTGGCCAGCAGATATTGCGAAGGAAACCGACCAGACCGAGGCATGTTAGCCTACCTCTTGCTGGGGATGCGGAGCTGTTGGTGTCTCACCAGGGCTCTGGTCTTGCTCGGCCTAGGCGCGGGTGGTGGGATTGACTCTTGAATGTTTCATTGCGGGTACCCTGCCACAAGCAACATGAACTCTGAACGAAGGGTCCCTGCTAGAGGAAGCTTGCCCGTTTTTTGAGAACCGTTGCAGGTCCCGTGTTTGTTGTCGGGAAGGCACTATCGTTGAGGCTGGGACGGGAAGCGAGAGGAACAGTTCATTTTGGACGTTTCAGGCAAATGTATGGGCAGGTACGAGGCCTAGTTTGTGGGTTGGTTCACCATCAGGTGTTGGCAACCAGCCGCACTGCCAAGCCCAACATCGCAGAAGCATACATGGCCTTGTGCTGGGTCTCTGAAGGCGGTTGTATTTTGAGAGGCTCTCAAAACTAAGTACTCACTTCCTGAATTCCTGGGCCTTAAAACCTTTTGGAGGACCAAATTGGTGGCAAGCAAACGGTCTTGATTTTCCGGCCAGTCCACTTCGGAAGTGTGTTTACCTTTGTGGGTGGGAAAGGGTGTGACACCACCATGTACCCTCCACTCCACTACCATGGAACATGACAGAGGTGTCCTGGAAGACTGTGTTCCTCTAAAAGGGGATCTCCGGGAAGTTCCCTGTTAGTGGACAGCAGGGTAGATCCATTTACAGATGACAATTGTAAGATTAAAAGCACGTCACTCTAATGGACCTAGCTGACCTAGCTTTTGAGGGGGAAGCAATCGGGTGAGATCAGCGGCGAACCCCTAGGATCTGCCGCGGGTTGAAGCGACTCATTTGGGATCACACCCGCACAAAAACATGACACACGTAATCAACACAGCACATGTAGGTAATATGTACCCACAGTTGCCCTCCAAGTTGGTCAATTGTTGGTACACGTCGCGTACGTGGATTATGCGGGGGTGTTAAAGGAAGCCAAACAGAATCCCAAAGGAATCATCTTTTGCGCTAAGCGCCAAAACAACAACTGTGCATGTTGGATGGCGTCCAAGGGAACCTCCAGAATAAGAAGATATTCAATTTGCACACCAGTCGCTCATGGATTTGCACCTGTCCGCTTTTCAGAGGGGAGAGCACCCAGCAAACAAGCCTTTCTGTCCCATAGCTACCGAGCCCCAAAAGAGGGAACGAGGACCGTGTGTCTTTTCCTGAGTCCCTTTTCAACACCCGCTTTGTTTCCAGACCCCCAGCCTTAAACACCTGCAGCGGTGGTGGTGTGTCTCCCGGCCTGCTGGATCTAGGGCTGGTGCTTGCGGCCAGCCCGCTGTCCCCAGTGGGGCTCAGCATCATCTCTAGCCTGAGCGGCTGCCTGGATCCGCAAATCAGACCCTGGGGCAGTGGTCCCGAAAAGGAAGTTCTTGAATTTACGTCCACCCTCCCATCGACATTGAACCTGACAGGGGGGGTCCTGGAAGTCAATGTTCCTATAACAGGGGACCTGCTGGTGGGTTCCCAGACCAGCGGGTGTTTTCAGGGTAGTCTACCTTAGGGATAGTGCAAAATGGAACCCTGCCATTTTTGGTTCGGCCCCCAGCCTGTTTTCCCAGCCTGTTTTTTTTCTTATTTTTTTTCTGTGGGGGGAGGGCAAGGGTTCTGGAAGGTTTTTGGAAGCGTTCCGGAAGAGTTTGGAGGCTGGTGGGGATGCCTGATTTTGGATCCGCAAGTCAAAGAGACAAAACGATTTGCCCATAAACAAGGCATCCTGCAACAAGATGAACCCCCGAAGGCTCCAGAGTCTTACCGTCAGGCCGTGTACAGTGAGCAAATGCGCCAAAAGTGGAGGTGTTTTCTTACAGGGATGTCTTCTTGCAGGGATGTCTTCTTGCAGGGTACCCTTTGGGAGGTGAAGGGCAACCAAGTGGAAACCAAGGGGAACCACATTTTTCGGGTTCATGCATTCTAAGTCACACCCATATATGCCACCCATTCATCCCTTTGTATGACTCAAGTGACTAAGCTCCTGAAACGTTTTGTTTTTGTCAGGGACGGGCGGCACGACATTAAGGGTACAACCGCTGGAACCTTTGAATGCAAACAGTAACCTGTGGGCTCTCCTTTGGCAGAGGGCCCCTCCTCCATAACCTTTCCAAACAGTGGGTGTGGCACTCCTTGCCGAGCCATTGCAAGATTTGCGCTTCAGAAAGTCGTTGCAAAGGTTTCAGGGAGTTTGCCTCTTTCTAGCCCCCTGGCACTTTGTAATGGGAACCCCGGATCTACATAAGTAGAACTGCTGGTTGATTAATAGGTGGGTCTCTCCTTTTAGTGGGGTTTGACCACTTTTGGATGGAAACACTCCTCCATTATCATCGGGATGGGTCTATTAGTCTGGGTCGACATTTTTGCTGAGCGCTTGAATGCACTCATAGACCGCGGGCTCCGCAAAGAAACCATGGTTTGGTACCCAGAGGCCGTTTCCAGAAAAGTAGATGGCTTTGTGGTCATTTCGCTGTTTGTTGTCAATATTGAAGGCCACTTTTGAACTTTGACTGACTCACTCGACGAGTTTGTGGGCTTTATGTTTTTCTTTCTTCGGAAGAGTATTGCTTTGGTATATAGACAGAAAGCTTGGACTTTTTTGGGGGCCATCCACAGGAAGTGAGCTGAGGACTACCTTTCATGAACTGAATTTGTAAAAGAACGCCGACCTGAGGAGTGATTCCATGCACCTTGAAAATGGGTCCCATAGTTTGGCTTTGCCTTCGGACGCTCCTGCTGTTTTGCTTTTTTGTTTGTATTATTTGGGCTTGTCTGAGCTTAGTGAAACCTTCAGCATGAGTGGTTTTGTTTGTTTCCCCCTAGAACAACCCCAGCAAAAGGATCACTCTGAAAAACACACATTTCCTTCCGGAACCGATGGTCAACAGTTTATGCACTTAGTTTTCCGGAGGAACTCGATTCAGGGAAGCTACGCTTGCGACCTCATGTGCGACATCTATGATGAAGTGTTCATGTGGTTCAATTAGTTTTTGCTTTGTGAAGTAGTACGTTTTGTCAGATTCAAGCTTTTAACAACAGTCTATGTCCCACTGCCATTTGAACGACAAGCAGTCTAACGGTTGATTCCTCATTCTCTTTGGCCAGGGCTTACTTCAGGAACCACACATTTTTCCAGAAGTTGGCCCATCTTTTGAATGGGCAATCCGGAGAAGGTACAGGTAGAAACATACAAAAAAAATACGATGTTGCCTTCCCCTACCCGCAACTCCTTTGAGAATAACTGTGCGTGTGTGTTTGTGGACAGTTCTTGGAATTTATCTTTGGCAGTTTGGGAAGGGTTCGCTGTGCATCCAATTGTGGGAGGGTGCCTGAAAGTCCCGGCTTGTTTTAATCGTTACTTAGCACGAGTCGTGGCTTAAACTTGGCTGCTGTTTCTCACCCCGCTCCCAACTCCTTTGATTGAGCCACCAGCGCTTCAGTGCTTCGATGGAAATGGTTGCTGAGGCTTGGGATTTCTCTACATTGCCATGATTCCTTTCGGTCAGCTGGTGACACTCGCGCCTGGGCAGTGGGTCGCTTAGGCGTCGCGCGAATGGTTCGCTTAGGGATCGCGCAAATGGATCGCTCCGGGATCGCTTTTTGCAGAAGGCTTATCGCGCATGCATGCGTGTTGATATGTTTTCCTGGCGATGTATGTTTATATACGCGCATGCGCGAGCAGGAATGCGCTTGTTTGTGCTTGTTGGCGTGTATATCGCATGACATATGTGACGTGTATGTTTCATGACATATGTTACTATGTATGCTGGCGAGTCCATGTATGTGGTTGTGTGCATGCGTGTTGACATGTCAGTGGCGGACCCTTCCATTTTTCAGAGGTCGTATGTGGGTCCTGTTTTGGTTAGATGGTTGCGATCCTGTTAAGCACGACCCCCAATGAAACCAAACAAGACCACATGTGACGCGGAACCATCCCCCCACCCAACCCCCCCCCCCCCAAAGCCATGTTATTTTGTAATCCGGTAGAAGAGTTGAGCGGATATGCTTATCATCCCACCCAGCCCCCCGCCCCAGAACCATGTTATTTTGTAATCTGGTAAAAGAGCAGGCCGGTCTGCAGCAGTTG